TAGCTCGGTTGATAGCTTCCGTCTTTTCTTTTTGGCACGTTGTCAGTCATAGGAAACTAATTTTTCCCTGGACAGGTAACCAGATCCCAAGTGAGTTGAGTTAGGGGCCCCAATATGCTGAACAGTGCGGTTGTGTATCGATTCATATGAAAATCCTCAATTAGCTCGAGACCCATGTGGCTGAGCTGAGTGGCCTTCATGGTTTTTAAGCTTTAGTGGTGAAACACGCCGATGCAATTAGACCTGCCATCTGGCCTCGGGTAATGTATTGAAAACAGTACAGCGGGACAAGCCAAAGACAGTGAAAATTATATTCAACAGTAGCGTGTAGAAGAGGGCCTGCCATCCAGCTTCCTCGTGGTGACCAGCTCTCAATGATTCCTTCGGGGGATGCGCTGGCCGCTCATACATCATGACCCCTAAACTGTAAAATTGCCTCTGAAATTGTTGCGCTCGGGGGATGTTGTGGCATACAGACAGAGTACCATAAGCTCGGGCGGCTTTTGGTCACAAGTTCGTCGTAAAATCATCGAGCACCTTTACAGAAGACTTCAATCCGCTTTTACATATGTCAGTAGACTCTCCGGGTTCAGTTTACAAAGTCGCACAGGCAATACTGTTTCTGGACTTACTGACTTGGAAAGTACCAGAATCGATACGTCCCTCGATAACCATCCCAGTATTTGTGAATGCTCCAAGTAAGACGCGGAGTTGGTACTGCCCTGCACGGTGTACGGCTAGGTCGTTGAACGCTGCGAATCCCATTTGTTGACCCGAATGAAACTGTACATCCGAAGTCAAATTGCCTCTAAGCCCAAGTGTGGGGGCTGAAGCTTCTCGGCCTATAAGGGATACATTGGCAGCAAACGCGTGCGGCTGTTCTTTTGTGAGGCTCTGGGGGTTCCTGGACAATACCAATATGGAAACGGTGAAGGGCGATCCTTGCCGAATGATAGGTGGGGGTTCTTGTGAGAGTGTGATACTCCCGTCACGAAAAAAGAGGGGCTTTTTGCTGACATCGTTTCTTTTCCTGTCGTCTTGAGCAGCTTCCCTGTTTCAGGTAATCAGGGAAAAGAAGCCGAGAATTGCACGGCTAATAAGGCCTAGGTCCTCACCTTATGAATTGTCCTATATCATAGCCGGGCCAGTCTTCGTTATTTGGAGCCGTTGTTTATTTCCAAAAAGAAAATGCGATAGTAAAGACAGAGATCTATGTATCTATATAACACGGACAAAGGCACGAAACATAACTTTTACAAATGGACCCACACCATCTTGATTGTGGTCAGCTCAAGCTGAAAGACCGATCGATGATCATCTATGCGCTAGTCAAAAACATAGTTCATACCGCATTAGGGATGAACAGATGCTAATAGACTAGCAACTACACGCTAAGTGGAGCGCTACGGAATGCATGTTAGTTTACTTCCTGCTCCAAAGGTGCGGCGTACAAACCAGATCTCAATAAAAATCTGGTAGCATATCATGTCCTGAAAACATGTAAATAACACCACTTTGGTCTGAAGTTTACATTGGATTCAGCTAGATCCTGGAGATAAGACCATCTGAAAAAGAATAATATGACGTAGGGGGGTAATATTCCATCCGGTTTCTTCAAATCCCGACCAAATCCTGACTGGCCCTTGCATGTGAGCTATCAATCTTCATTAAGCTTGCGCTTGCCACCAAGCCATATGTCAGACCGCAGCGCTAGGAGGTCCAAATATGATCCATGCTTCCGTAAGGTATGATTGCCATGTAATCGCAAGTTGTAGAAATAGTGGTCGACGCCCCGGGGCAACATTTTCTCACTATGTCTACCGCTCATCGATGCACCATTCGCTATATACAAAATACCACAGCTGTCTTCCCTAAATAGCTAACGTGATTTCCAAGTAAGCGGACACCCCACCTCAAAGTTCAATCCCCTAGCAACCTCATGTTTTCAATCAAGCATCATCCCCCCAAAACCATGCAAAAAAAGGCTTGAAAATTGCTTGAGCAACAGGTTCTACTGGCTTTTCGCTATTTAAGCTTTTCAAATTGGTCAATTTTACCACGATCGCTGCTGCTGCACGCTCTTTTGAGATTTCCCGCTCTAGTCTCCAAGCCATACTGGGGCCTAAAACGAGAGCGGGAGCGAAACCGAATGAAATAGATATATTCTTGCTTGGGCCGGCTACTTCATTGACCAATCAGGTCACCCTGTCATGCCATGACTAGTAGGATTAACGCATCCAGTGGATACAGGAAACCCCCTTTTGTCTTCTTTTCAGACTGCTCGTATGATACAGTATGGATGGGAGGACAGGTGAATGATTTCAATCAACCTAGCCCCTCAGGAAATTGATTTATGTCGACGATCGATGAAACGGTAGGGTCTTGTACGTAGCAATGATTTATCACTAAATAGCTGTTCTCCTCTACGTTCATCCGTCCACCTGTTACATATACTCAGACTCAGGGGCTTGTTTCCTAGTAAGCTTCTCGTGTGGATCTTCTCCGAAACAGGCTCCAGTGGCAATCAACCACTGACAATTTACTAACAAGACCAAAATACTAATTCGTACCAAATCTAGTGGGTGGTGATTTATGTCGGAACGTGGTCGTTACAGTACGGACTAGTACGGGCATAGCCAATTGAGTACTTGAGAGTGTGATTTTATATACTATGGAAAGTGCAGAATAAATAGGGGGTGAGCCTAGTAAGGTCGTTGTTGCTTTCATGCTACCCTCATGGCGCATGGGTTTGAAACCGTTGTTGTGCTTCGGCGAAGCGCAAGATGGCTTCTACTATATTATTCCGTGAGGCACTGTCAATTGTATCTTGTCCCCCTTCTGCTGGTCCTCCCAAAAGGGTTGACAGGCTGTTGAACGCGCGCTAATTTTTCTTCAGAATTTCCGTCGTAATTCTCTCAATTGCAGATAGTCCAGTGTCAGGTAATGTACACTTTCCAGCTTGTCGCAGACACACGGGTTGTCATCCTGGAAACAGAAGGACTTCGCGTATGTTGATAACCAGCAGTGTCCAGTTCGCAACAGTATTAGCAAGTAGGCTTGCATAGTATGCAGAGGTCCGTGGCAAGCCTCGGGCTGTCAAAGTAGCTCAGATCAAAGATGTTTTATGTCAATATGAGACCAATTCTAATATATGCCCGTAACCACCATCGAAGGTAACGATCAAGAATCAGAAAACGGTAAGCAGCAGGCGTAAATAAAGGAAGTTCAACACCAACAATTTGCTAATGAGAGGAATAACCGCTTTGATAGCCGATTTTGCTGTTTCTTGCGAAACTCGTATCTTCAACAGTCGTAGTTATCTGGTGGCGAAATGGGAACGCTACACGCGGTGATATGGCAGTCAGGGGCAAAAAAATAACATTTTACTTCGAAACGAATCTGCACAGCAATTAGTTGAGCGAATCACGAGTAAAAGCTCATACATTGGGCGGGAAATGACGCGACGATACCTGCTAGCGCTTTTGCTTCGTCACTCCTAGTGACATTGAATCGCCGGGAGGGCGAAGAGACCAGCACCTTGTTCGAATATTCTATTTCTTTTTGAAAATTTTTGAAATTAGCTAGCAAAGTTTTTAGAATTTACTGAACGCGTCGAGGCCTTGCTCTGTCATGCTGAACTAGACTAGCAGGCTAGACTAATGCAGCATGAAGGAGTTATCCTGATCTACTGTACTGGAGGATATTGGTGAGAATCAAATAAGTGAATTTGTCTAACCCAGGTAGAACCTGTTGAAAAAAGGATACCCTTTGAACACTGCGTGGGCCCCATTTTACTATGCTAACAGCATAGAAACCTCTGTTGTTCAAGGGTAATCGACACGTATATCGATTCCTATTGGTTCATCCATGTGGGACAACAACCAGGCCAGAATTGTGGGTTTTAGCGATGCACTTCGGGAATTTAACACCCAAGAGAATAGGTATCATGTCTCAAAAAAAAAAACCACTACGGTATATCAAGCTGGTCAATTCTACATAAGCAGGTTGTACCTTCCAGCATATATTCGCAACGGAAATTCATAGCCCAGCGTTGCTGATGAAGTGATGGTATTGTGAAATCGACCACTAAGCCCATTTCGGTTATACGATAACCGCTGTACCGAACAAAGTATTACTGCGGAAAAATCCCACAATATGAAGTATGGTTAATGCGTTTATTCGCGCGGATAAAAAATCATATATTCATATTCGCATTCCTTTATTCATTTCGGAACCCTAGGTGAAGGCGGTGAGGGTGAGGGCGGAAGACGCGATGGAGCGCGCGTCGTACTGATGGGGCCGCACCAGGGTGGAGGTGCTGCCACTGTAAGTAGCGCTGGATGATCCAGCAGAACTACTTACACTTACTGTGGTTAGATATAGAGACAGTGGGGGATTCAAGTCGGCTGTAGACATATGGGAAAATCGGCCCGATTCCAAAACAACAATTTTTAGATGAAACCTCACTCCCGGCTTAGTATAAAACATTACGGATTGTGGCAGGCCGAAGAGGTGCGCAACGACGCGAAATGTGTGGCCCCGCTTGGTTGTTGATTATGTAATTACCAACGACAGGTAAATGCGGGACGATGGAAGATAAAATTGATCACTAGTCAACCATGAGCCACCTCCTTCAATTACCCACCGAGATACTACTACGAATATACCAAAGTCTTTCTGATATTGACGATATTCTTCGGTTAGGACGCAGCTGCAGGAGAACATACGCTGTCCTGAATCCAGTGGCCCATCGCCTGAGTGTTTTCAGGTCAGTTATTGTACGATCTCCTTTCTCATGCCAGGCGCTATCTCAACACTGACGAGGCTCTTAGTGCGGCGCCGACCACCACAAACATGATCTACGACTCTACCAGCTTCGGGAGGCCCAGGATTGTTCTACGATTGTGTTTCCTGGGCCAAGCTCCCTACCTTCATCAAGAAGTAGCCTTCCACATTCCCCAAGTGGCTCGGACTCCGGATCTTGTACCCACACGATAAGAATGTCAGATCTCGAAGTCTGGGAGGTGGTGTGTCGTTGGCATGCCATGAAGCTTCTGTATGATCTCTATAACGACCGTGTTATTCAACTATGTTACTTTCTATCAATACCCTTATATTCTGCCTCGGACGAGTTCGAAGAATTTGCAGACGCTGTGGCACATGAAGGGATTCTTCCAATGCCGTCTTGCGGCACAGAGAATGTCTGTCAACTTGATACGGCGCAGAAGCAGCGAGTCTACCAACGTTTCTACAAAGCGCTCACTGCCCACTGGGTGGCAGTAGAATCGCTTTGTCTCACAAGAGTAACGGATTTCGAAACAACTGACCAACGCAATCGCCATCTGGGTATGGTTTGGGATATCTGGACGAACAACCCTGACAGAACACTTTTGGAAAAATTAGAGGTCCTGGAAGTCACTGATTTTGTTTGGGGCTTCCTTGGACGCAAAATTTTCTCAGAAATTGACGCTCCTTCCAAATGGCTGAAAGGTGGGGGCGAAGACTTGCTGAATTACTACATGAATGATCAATATAGTAAACACTCGAACTGGCTCCATTTCATCCGAGATGTCGCGCAATGTCTGAGACCGCCACATATTATTGAGCTTCTCCTGCTCAATACCTGGAATACCGAAAGCAGATGGTGTACTCAAGGCCTTAATTACTTGCACGAGCTCAAATTTGCTCAGACTGGAGCTGTGCGACAGGTAAATGACATGAATCAAACGGAGGATTCCTTCCCTTTGACCGTTTTGGAGGATGATGTGGTGAATGAGCTTACTGCGAGCAAAGCCTCGGTGGCACAAAGTCCAGAGTTTTGTCAACTGAGGTGGGATATGTACAGATGTGAAAAATGGGTCTTTGAGTCAAGAACCAAGATATTTCTCCTTGAACCGACACCTGAACAGATATATGAAAGTATCTTTGGGTAGTGTTCCGACTTCCAACTATCACGAATGTCTCTTAAAACCGGACAAAGAGCCTACTACGAATGCTGTTACTATATTGATATTGAGCTACTTCTTCTGTCGAAACAATCTGAAGGCAGGAACTAATCAAACTTGGTATTTTCATAATCTCATACAATTCTCATTGTTGTAACTATAGACTCAATGATGCGATGCAAAGAGGAGGAAGGAAGAAATGGAAGTCAGACAATAATACAGGGCGGATCGAAATCGATTGCCGTCCTCCCAATCCTTACTCTGCCTCAGTGGTTTATGGTGCGATAGCACGTTTGCTCCAATAGAATGCGGCATCTTCCATTAAGGCGTAGACCGAACAGGGTCTTGTTTGGTGAGTGATGTGGTGAGTGATGTGGTGAGTGATGTGGTGAGTGTTGTGGTGAGATATGGGTGGTGAAACATCACTGTTACCGGAAATCTCCGGGCGATTAGAGGGAACGTTTTTTTAGCCATGTCACCCATTTGTCACCCATATCATACATGCAACAGTTTGCATTCTTGATATCCCATCCCATTTGATGACTCCTGCTGGTGACTCGGTGAAGTTGGCGTACAGCCTCCAACTCGATTGCGATGATCAAATTCAAACAAGGTTCAACTATGAAAACGCAATACGCTCAAGACCAGACCTACCAGGTGCAGAAGCATATGATGGGGTGCCGATCACAAATACAACTCCTTGGTTCTATTCAACATCATGATGCGATAGACTCTGTTCCTTCCGCAGTGACGGCGATCACAGATCACTTGAACCTATCCTCCAATAAGCTTCTTACATTCTAGGGTATTCACGAAAGCGAGAGTAGCTTAGCCTCGAGGTCAATCATGTTATTGAGAGTGTTGGCTCGAGACTCCGATCAACTCCTTGTACAAGTGGGAGCCGTCCCAACATTATGAATAATCTCCGTCAGCAACTACGATTCGTAATGGCAGCCCATCCCCCATGTATCTGGATCCACCATTGCACTCAAAACGACGGACGCTGATTTTTGGGACGGAGTACCCGAGTTCATGCGATCAAGCATGCTCTACTTCCGAGTAGTCACGGTTGAAACACGATCGGGGTTTAACAAGCGCAAACTGAAACCACATCTGGTAAATACATCTCCACCATCATTTACGACGAACTCTCATGAGAAGATATCATTGCAATTGGTACTTGAGTTGACTTGTAATCGCAGCAGACATGCGCCTAAGCCATTTCTCCAAAGGGAAATATGGCATGAGCGTTGATTAGGGGTGGAAAATTCAGGATAGGTTGTCGGAGATATTCAAAGAGACCGCACAGCAGGATGGCTCTTGGCGGTGTCACGGACATCAATGTCACTTTTACAGAGGATCTGCTTGAACAGTTATATGCCACGTCCAGGCCGCGGTTAGTTTGGCAGGTATATCTTAATACTCAAAGACAGTCGACGAAGGGGACGTAGAGAACTCTGCCATTTCCCGGGAAGGGCCGCTTGCGCGCAATATGGTAGAAGACGATTTCAGTGAGAAAATGATACACGCGCTCGGCTTGACTGACCTGCAGATGCAGCGATATCCAGCATTAATGGTCTTTGCACATGTTGCTCGGGTTTGGATAGTAAAAGCGTGCTGAGGCATCAAATCTACCAAACATATGTTCAAAGGCACCGCAATATTTCTGACAGCCTTCATGATGCAGCGTCGTGTATGACTGATTGGTCCCTTCCCGCTCGCTCGGATACGTCGACAGATACTTCAAAAAGCTCAGCAACGCGGAGTAGAATAAGGTAGGGCAGTATAGATCGGTGATTCGTACCTTGTGGTACTTTAGTTGGCTCGGCTATGAGCGTGTTGATCCGCTCCCGGATAGTGCGATTCGTGCGTTCGGCCAGACCATTTTGCCCTTTGCAGTATGGCGGCGAGGTGTCAAACTCAACTCCCTGGGTCTCGAGGTGTGTTCCGATCGGCAGGTATTCTCTCCCATTGTCGGTGAGGAACCTCTTGATCTGGGCGCCGAACTGTCGGTGCACCCAGGCCTCAAATAGTCGGAACTTCTGGAGCGCTTCATGCTTCCATCTCATGGCATATGCCCACGAGCCACGAGAATAATCGTCAGTAAAGGTGATCACGTACCTGGAGCCATCTTTGGCGATCGGCATCTCCATGATGTCCGAATGGATCATTTCAAAGATTCTCGTTGAATGCAGACGTGGCCGTCTTGCACGGGAGTTCCTCTTCTGATGCTGCTTACCCGACATACACGCCGGGCACTGCGGCGTTGCCAGCAGCTGCGCCTGCGTTAGCGGTCGGTACGGAGTGCCGGTCTGCCGGAGGACCACCCTCAAGTCTCCCCGGTTCAGATGTCCCATCCGAGCGTGCCACAACGCTTCGGAGGCCTGGTCCACTCCTTTGCACGCATCTTCTTCGAGTATCACAGCTTCACCACCGAGTTCAGAGGTTGACGTTGCGCATTCTGCGTCACTTGACTCCTGAGGGTCGTCGACGTCCATGGCCACCGCCTGCGGTTCCAGGGAATCTGCATGACCACAGGTCGCCGACGCCCTCGCCAGTTGGACTCGCTCTCGGGATCTTTGGCTCACATGGCACCGTAGGATCAATAGATCCTCCTCCGCATGGTAGGCGGTCCCCACGGTCCGTCCTCGGCGTTGCACAAAGACGTTCTGTGGGTGCGCCACCACCGAGTAGCGGTCTCGTAACAGCTTCGGCACGCTGATCAGGTTCATCCCGACGCGTGGCGCGAAGTATACATTCTTTAACACCAGGGGTTGGTTGAACTTCCCCCGGAGCGTGAGCTTCACCGTACCAATCCCTTCGGCTTCCACTGGATCACCCGCCGTGTCCAGCATCTCGCGGTGGGGCCGCAGACTGCTGAAGCAGCTCCGGTCCCAGCAGATGTGGCTGGTGGCGGCCGAGTCCAGGATCCACCGGGGTTGCGGTGCGTGGGTAAAGAGGGTCGTCACCCTCGCCCTCACGATATTGATCCTCGGTCTCTTGGAAGTCGGCGGGCCCTGCCGATCTTCTCTCTGGCTTGACGGTATATTTTGTATGTTGTTTCTTGGTGAGCCGGAAGCACTCCGTTCAGCCTTCAGGGCATGGTCCCTAGGCGGGTGAATTTCGCGCTGTTTCTTCCAGCACTCCGCGACCACATGGCCGCGTTTCTTGCAGTAGGCACATTTCTTGGGGATTCGCTGCACTACATTGATGGACGGTCCTGGGACTCCCTGCGGAGGCACGGGAGACTCCTTTCGTCGGACCGTCTGCTCGGCATTGGACAGCCGATTTCCAATCGTAATTGGGTTGACCGGATCCTTGTCATTCTGGATCGCATCCACAACTAGGATGTATTCCGGTCCGATCTGCGTCAGCAAGATCGCGATGTGTGCCCGATCACCAATCGATCCGGGCGCGATGGCATTCAATCGATGTACGAGCAACCGTACACGATCGACGAATTCGCGCGCACTGCCGCATCGTTCGCCGGTGGTCTCGCGAAGTTGAGCAAACAGTTCGCAGAAGGTGGCGAGTTCCATTCGCCGGTACCGTTCTTCAAGTTCATTCCAGAGATCACGGGACGTCTCTAGTCCCGCGACATGAATGCTAATGTGGGGGGACAGGTACCGGAAGATGGTGTGGTAGGCCTCGGCTTCGCGGCGCGACCATTCACGGTGGCGCTCGAATGCCTGGACCTCCACTTCGAGGCGCGCTTCAATGGCTCGCTGCCTCACCGCCCCGTTGAGGTGGGGCTCCACCAAGGGGTGGATGTCCGCCGTAATAGGTTTGGCGTACTTGAATAGACAGTCGGGACGCCGAAAGTCGCCCGACACGACATCCCAGACCTGCCTTGCTTTGAGGTAGGAGGTCATGAGACGTTTCCAGGTCGCAAAGTTGTCGCTTCCTGTCAAAGGCTCGATAGCCGTGACGGCTCGGTCGGGAGAGTCATGGACCAGAGCAGACATAGTGGTGATTGTGAAAGCGGGGTAGATATACAATTGATAAAATGATTCTTAGATGAGTAGCGACGGCACCCAAATTTGCTCTCGGGCTCATAACCTGTTGTTATTCAGAGGTATATATTGACTTGTTATTTCAGAGTGATACATGTGCCTATATATATAACAATGAGCCAAGTTGATTGGAAATCAACTTGGTCGTCTGTATAGACACTTCGGAGCTAACTCCGACGGTGCGGCTTGGTTCCTGATCTGCACCAGCCTCATATCACAACATAGATTAGATGGTCAAGGTCTCCATGCGCAGATGCCTCCGCCATAGTAGCAGACCAGCTGATCTAGTCTACAGCCACTGTGTGTTACTCCCAAGAGATAGGCAAATTTCCGCGTCGCAGGTAGGTGAGTCTAAGCCTCATCTGTGTGAATTCGGCTGATCCTGAAGACAATGCAATTCAATCGAACCGAGGACATTTGACGACAATGCACTAGGGTAAAGACCTCATGCCTTTGCCGTGCCTTCGTTCATGGTGCGCACCAGAAAATATGAGTCGTGGATTATCTGGCCGAATTGTAGGACCCGTGAAACATCCTGGGTAGTCCTTATCGACGGATCGGAGATAAGACCAGGGGGCAGCACTACGACGCGTGCATCTATCGCGTCTTCGCCCTCACCGCCTTCATGAAAGGCGGAGTGTCTGGCCGTCCGCATTGCGAAACATTCATCCATCACGACTATATGATTGCTTGTGCCTGGTGAGGATGTCACGCCCTATGCCGCCCGGGAGAATGCGCGTTGTGCTACAGCCCAGCTCTTTCAGAGCAAAGGCCGGGAGATTGCGACGGACCAGAATACAACATGGCATGAATCGTGTGCGTTGCTTTGATTGTAAGTGATCTGTTTGGCAAGTTCCTATGACCACGAAGCTCACTGATCGTCTCGTCTCAAGCTTACAAAGTGTGTCCCCTGCGAACTCTATTGACTTGGATCCTAAATTAGGACGCCCTTTGTATTCCCATCACTCGAGTCGA